CCTTGAGGAGTAGCTGGTAGAGAAGAAAGAAGTCTATCTCTTTGCTAGAGGGTTAAAATTGTTTTGCTAAAGTTCAAAACTAATTTTAATGATCTCTCTCTCCTTAAGCATTTTCTCATTTTGATAGCAAAAATGTTACAGACTTTGATTATCCCTAGCAAATTCTGTTTTCCCCTTCTCTCACTTTGTTTAAAATTATTCATATTCTTTTTTTTGCTGTAATTTTCTGTCCCTTTAAGCCCTTAATCTATATAGGCCTTCTCCACCAAAGGCAATGCTGACAAGTGATAAGGACCCTCTGTAAGGAGGAGTGCCCTGTTTTCAAAAGGACTGCATATCTTGACCACTATTGAACACAAGATGGGATCCTCTTCTAAAGAGTTCTGGGCATGGTTTTTTTGTTAGTTTTTCCCACATCATCCTTCATGCCATGGACGGTGATCCTCTCCAAATGAAAGTCTGGTTCAAACCCTTCATCGTCTTTCCAACTGCCTTGGCCCATGGAAATTCCATGCCATGGCCCACAACAAATGGCACTTCACTGCCTTCACTGCTTCTCACACCATATGCTGTAGCCACATAGATTCTTGTAGTTCCTCCAAACTGCCAGGATGTCTCAAGGGCCAGGACATCGCTGACCCTGCTGACTCTGTACCTAAATGTCCACATGGTTGGCCGGGTGAAACCCTAGACTTCCTTCAAGGTGGGTTCAGAAAACCCCTCCATGAGGTCTTTCCACCTCCTCCTTTTTCAGACAGAACTGACCACTGTCTCCTGTGCCCTCACTTCACCATCCCCTAAAATACTTCATTACACTTAGATTAAATTTTTATCTCTCTTGACTAAGCTGGAATTTCCTTGATGGGAAGACTATGAATTATTTATTAATTCATTGTATTCCTAGTACAAAAGAGACATGCCTACACACTCTTGTAAATAAACGAACAAGAGAATAAATACCCAAGGTGCCTAGGAACCATTGTCGGCTGAAAAAAATGCACAACCTAAAAGCTGAGAATTATGTTTTATTCGGCAGAATTTCTGAGGACTTAAGCCCAGAAGACAGCCTTTCAGGTCGCTCTGAGGGACTGCTCTGAAGAGGTAAAGGAAGAGCCAAGATATGTAGGAGTTTTACAATAAAAACCAAGTAGTCGGAATATCAAAAGATTACTGTTAATTAAAGAAAACCAGACACCTCAAGTTAATAAATTCAGTGCTTCTCCATGTGTGGGAAGATGCAAGAGTCAGGGCCCATTGAAATCATTCCTTTGATCTGTACCTTAACTGTCTAGGGCCAGTAGCCCACTTTCCTCCATCCTGAATCCCCTCAGGGTGCACAGTCTGGGGCAGCTGCAGTGGCTGACAGCTTGATGGCTGCAATATCCTTTGTTTACTGATGTGGCAGGTGACTTTTTTCATCCACACTATCAAGGCCTATGGAACACATCTGGATTCTAACAGTCTATCGTAAGATTTCATTGAGCTTTTTACCACACTATGCCAAGCACTGGGAACTTTGCGGAGTTTTTAGTCTAAATCTAAGTAGGGGAGATCAGAGAAGGTCTCCCAATATTATGCAACAACCTAAATGGGAAAACAGTTTGAAAAAGAATAGATATATGTATATGTATAAGTGAATCACTTTGCTGTACACGTGAAACTACCACAACATTGTTAATCGACTATACTCCAATATAAAATTAAAAGTTTAAAAAAAAGAGAAAGAAAGAAAATGGCCTTGAACTGGGACCTGAAAAGCAGATAACTAGGCAAGTTAGGGCCACGAGAGGATATTTCAGGCAAAGGGAAGAATAGGCACACAGGTCTGGGGCATGGAGAAGAGTATGGCTCATTTGAGGAACCAAGAGATGACAGCATGGCTGGACCACAAGAGGAAATTGGAGTGGCAAGCAATGAGGATGGGGAGACGGGGGGCTGGGTCATGCAGGGTCTTGAGGGTGTTCACAAACAGGAGGGGGCACTGTCCCATAGACAGAACACACCTCCCTAACTAACCCCTGCAAATCCTGACTCAGACAGTCAGGAAGCCTGGAGGAGGGCCATCTTTGCACTCAATCAAAACTCCTACGGCTTCCCTGGTGGCGCAGTGGTTGAGAGTCTGCCTGCTGATGCAGGGGACACGGGTTCGTGCCCCGGTCCGGGAAGATCCCACATGTCGCGCAGAGCGGCTGGGCCCGTGAGCCATGGCCGCTGAGCCTGCGCGTCCGGAGCCTGTGCTCCGCAACAGGAGAGGCCACAACAGTGAGAGGCCCACGTACCGCAAAAAACAAACAAACAAACAAACAAAACTCCTAGATGGCTTCAGTTAAACTTTTAACTTTTTAACTCATTTACCACTTAAAAACTTTAAATTTGGTATGGTTTTGTTTTTTCACTTCGGGATTTCTTTTCTTCCAGTTGTAAAATTGTATGTGATCGAAATCTCAAAAATATTTTGTTGGTCTTCTGTAGATGCAGGTTTCCACTATCCTTACACTCGTTCTGTGCATGCCACTTTGTCATGTGACTTGTTTAATTCATTGTTATGTTCATTTTAGATGCAATCTGGAAACTCACTTATGTGTTTCTTTATAAGAAATTGGCCAAACAATACATTGCTGTATGTCAATTATATCTCAATAAAACTGGAAGAAAAAATTTTAAACCAGAAAAGAAACTGGCCAAACATTTACAATTGTTAGTATTTCACTGAATACCTATTATGTACAGAGCCCTGTTCTAGTGCTGAGGAATTCAAAATGTGCCAGCCCTGGGATCTAGGAGCCCAGGACACTTGTTTCAGAAAAGCTCATTGGTATCCACAAGGGGTTATAAACGTGTGCCCTAAATGTGAATGAATGACACTGAACTGAAAGGTGTAAAGAAGATGTAACACTAACTAAGAGAAATAGATGATTTTTGTTCATTACGTATCCTTTTTTATAATTTTTACATACTTTCATTGATTCCTAATGAAAATATTTCTTTCCATAATTTTAATCTGGTTATTTGATGAAACCTCAAAATTCCTGTCATCTGGTTATTGTTTTAAAACACTTGTTCTTAACAGATACACACTACTATATACAAAATAGATGAATAACAAGGACCTACTGTATAGCACAGGGAGCTATACTCAATATCTTGTAATAACCTATAACAGAAAAGAATCTGAAAAAGAATAGATAGATGAATATATGTGTAACTGAATTCCTTTGCTGGATACTTAAAACATTTAAAATCAAGTATACAACAATTTAAAAAACACTCTTCTTCTTATATTATCTTTTACACCACCATCCCTGAATGTTGAAGGATAACTTAGAGATACAAGTTATTTGTCACACCATTTGCCTAATTTGTGTGGCAATTGTTTACATTACAAGTAATGAATCAAGCAGTATGACAAGTCAAGGAACAAGGTGAAAATAGGATTTATAGGAGAGGAGAAAATATTTCAGACAGTGTGGGTTCTTGCCTGAACAATCTGAGGGTGAACTGAGTAGCTGGCAGCTGGTAGAAAGAGGCAGGCCTTGGAAATCTGTCTTTCAGTAAACTGAGCAGAAGTGCCAAAGGTATTTTCAGTTCTTTGTGGATTCTCCAGGAAACCTTGAGCACTTAGCTGAGAAGCTAGGATGATGCTGTCCTGAGAAGTGTCTGCAGGGGTCCTTCCACCCCCATACCATCATACTTGGGTACCAGTTCCTTCACTAAAGTGTCTCAAAAGAATGAGCAGAGATACCTCTGCAGAGTTTCGTGCACTGATGTTTGTCTCAGAATGGTATTAACTCTCATAAGAGTAAAAATAATATGAATGTTCAAAGTCAGAGATTCATAAATAAACTACAGTATTCATACAATGGAATACTATGCAGTCATTAAAAATCTTGTAATAGAAGAGTATTCAAAATATAGGGTATATGTTCATGGTATATATGTTTTAAATGCTATTTACATATTTAAACACAATTATTCCATATTTAGATGCAACAGCTAAAAGTTCAGATGATTATATACCAAGATGTTTAAAGTATCTGTCTCTGGGTGGTGGAATGATAGATGACTTTTGTATTTTTCTTTGCCCTTTCTTGTATTTTCCAAGTTTAATTTATTAAATCTATTGCTTTTACAATAAAAATCTTGTTTAATTTATAAAACTTCATAAAAGAATTTATAAATTTATAAAACTTATTTTAAAATAAATGGATAATTGCTTAATTATAAAAACCAATTTATTATGTATTCAATGAGATCTTAAACAATACATGAGAATACATGTTCTGTATTTGTATTTGTGTGCATATATGTTTGGGGTAAAGAATAACCATGACCTAGAATTCATTACATCACTTGGTTATCTGGATCCTTAGCCAGTAATCTTAGATCGGAGCCAGCATTTCCTACAATTCTATTAGAGCTCGGAAATTCTACTTTTGAAAGAGAGAATGGATGGAGAACCTTAGAACTGACTCATCCTCTATCAAGCTAGAAGAAAACTAAATTTAATAGTGTCTTTGTTTTAGTTTTTACTGGGGAAATAGGATCGTACTGGGGAGGTGGAGGCATGGGGCAGAACTTCAGTCTTTGTATAACTGCCGTGAGTCTCCGTCTTTCTTTAACATGGACAGTTTTCCAAAGTTATGTAAAATGGTAGGCAGACGCAGCTTCAAGTCGCCCCCCTTATAAGAACAATAATAATAGTCAAGCTGAATGTAACGTCCATTACATGCCAAGTACTGTACTAACCGATGAGTGTGTGAATACACACACATATATATATTTAACTAACTTAGTCCTCACAATGTCATTTTGAGGCAGGTATTATCATTTTACAGATGAGGAAATCAAGGCTCACTTTCCTCCTCTGTAAGGCCCTGTGATGTACAAATTCTGGAGCTGCCATTGGGAGAGAAGTGGGATAAATTTGTCTTTTGTGACACGCTCTCTGGTCCACTCATCGCCTCATTCTTGATTCCTCTCTCAATTTCTCTCTTGTACAGCTTCACTTTCCACCAACGGCTCAATATCAACCACTCCTAGTGGTCCAAAGACAACCTCTCCTAGTACGCCTGTACCTACTACAGAAAAGGAAGAAGGTTTGTTCATATTTTAAAGCAGTTGCTCTGGAGTCATTGTTATGGTGCAACTCTATTTAATGGGACCTACCACTGTGGGGAAACTGTGACAAAGACTGAGAAATGGAAGCAAAGTAGACACAGTCCCTCCCACAGAGGAATTCTCACTTCTGGACTGTCACACTGAAAAAATACTGTGGGTTAAAACAATTAAAACAATCTAGCAAAACGCATAAACAACAAATGTGACCATGAAATAGTGGGCCAGATAAAAGGGATCCAGTAGTGCAGTGGTGAAGGGGAGCTTGTGGTTAAACCCAGCTGGACTCAGCCAAGGGCTTGGCCCTGTCCCAGGTGCTGACCCTGAGTGAGCTGAACTCTGAGTTCCCCAAAGGGCCTCTGTCTTCTTAATTTTAAAGTGGGACTCATTATACTTATTTCACAGTGTTCTCTAAGGATTAAATAAGAAAATGTGTGTAAAATTGCTTGGCTCGGAGCCTGGCACATCATAAGCGCCCAGTAAAATATAAGCCATCTGGGTGCTGAGATAAGAACGGTCAGGTGGCATTCACTCTCTCTCTGGTTATTTTTCTAGGGAGAAGATGACTTTACAAGAGCAGGTTGAAAGTAGAAGGGGAGAGGGTTTTTTGTAGGTGGGGTTTAGGCAGGGTCCTCTGGATTTAAAATAAAGCCTCAAAGAAGACGTAGCGTGGCTACCGGATCATTAGCTAATAGAATCATTGAAAAAATACACTGAGATAAACGGAAGCAATGGATTTTCAGAAGGACAGAGAGCAAGAGCGGAAAATTAGGCTGAGTGCTTGGAACTAATTATTAGGTTTCTGGGTCCAGTTAAACAATGTAATTTTCAAAGTGATTGCAGTGTGAAGCCAACATGTTAGTGTCAAACCAGAAAGCATTGATGGGTCAACTCCAGACACACATAGTGCTACATGCCTTGAATCCTATGAATAAAGAATGGCATGGTGGGTGGGGCATTGTACTAAGTGTTTTCATGCATTAGCTGGTCTTATCCTCATAGGAACTCAAAGAGATGGGTATTATAATCTTCATTTGCCAAGAGAATACTGAAGCACAGAGAAACTAAGTAACTTAGCAAGGCCACACAATGAGTAAGAGGCATACAGATGACTGAAACCCTATCTGTTTTATTCCAGAGCTCATACACCAGCCACAACTATAAACTGCCACAAAGATAGAGAAGACAAGTCCATTTAACCTTTATGCATAAGTGCAAAAGAATGACCAAATATAACCAAGTCCTTGATTTGTATGTCATACAACATAGTGTGATATGTTATTCATAATATTTAAATTCAAGAAAATTGTGTGGCTACAGTAGTAAGGCAGCTTCTTGACATGAAATGACATTTGGAGACAGCAGAAAAAGAAATATTAGCTGTGGACTGATAAGGGGGAGGTTAACTCCAGCGGAGCCTTAAAGCAACCGTATTAGAAACTTCTACAGAAAGGGAATCCAGTGGGACTGCTGGCAAAAACTTAGCTGAGACACAGTAAGGGTTTGGATCCTCATGGTGGCTGTGGCATAAATCTGGAAAATTGATAGCAACATGGCCTCTTTGGGGGTTGGACTGATGTCCATGCAGGATGATGGCTCAATATGTCTCCTTTCTGATCACCGTTTTTACATTTTTTAAAAATGCACTGCTATTGTGGAAGTCCACGGATGGTTCTTCCAATACTTTTTCACACCCTTCCCTTTAGTTCATGAGATGGTTTACTAATTTCTGATTCATGAAAACTTGTTGGGTAGTTGAAAGTAGATATTGGAATTACTAATGTTAAGACTGACATTACCTCATACATTTTACTAGCTCACTGCTGAAAGTTGAACATTAGCTCTCTAAGCACAGTTAAGAAAAAGAAATCCACTAGACAGTCTGATTCCAAAATGGTATTTTTAAAACATGCCTTATGTTTTCTAACTTTATTTTGAAACATTATCCTTTTAGCTACAAGACAAAGATATCCACACAATTTCTCACAACCAGGTATGGTAATATTTGATGTGGAATGATGATCATTCCATTTAAAATTTTGTTTTGCTAGTTTTAAATGCCTATGAAAATAGAAATGTCAATTTTATTTTCTATGTTTATTTTCTTTCTTTTTTGCTGATTTTTTAATTGAAGTATAATTGCTGTACGATATTATATAAGTTACAGGTGTACTATATAGTGATTCACAATTTTTAAAAGTCATACTCCATTTATAGTTATTGTAAAATATTGGCTATATTCCCTGTGCTGTACAGTATATCCTGGTAGCTTATTTTATACATGATAGTTTGTACCTCTTACTCTCCTACCCCAATATTGACTGTCCTCCTTCCCTCTCCCCACTGGTAACCACTAGTTTATTTTAAAAACAAGAGAGTATATGTTATTGACTTTAGTCACACAAAATTATAAAGGCAAACAAAATATGCTCTTTTCAAAATTAAAATAGGCATCTATAATTTCCTTAAACATTTTGGAAACAGCAATACATAATTTGATCATCATTTTTCTTTTAAGTTAGATATTTTTTTAGCTTTCTAAGTAACTATGGGTACTTGAGAAAAGTCTAGAGCTTATAAAACACTGGAACTTCTCCCCTCCCTACTATAAAGAAAGCAAGGGGCTTAAAAATCACCTACTTAATTGGCACCAATCCAGAATAAATACAGACCATTCGTGTCTCCATCTGGATTTGTTCTGGGCCCTGTGCTACCAATTTGGAGCTATCTTCCCAATCCTCTCTATCTGGGGACTGTCGCTTCCCCACTTAGGTGCTGCTGTCGCTTTGGCTCTGGTTCATTTATGTGCTTGTTTACTACTCTGCATCTCTAGGCCTCCCTTCCCACTTGGCCTGTGTCCATACTCACACCAGAAAAATGGATTGTGTATAACTGAGTCACTATCTCATAAATTAAAGCTAAGTGGAGAAGAAGGCTGGACAATACCAGTGATAGGAAAAGCCACTTTTACTTTTTTACCAGTAATAAGGCTTTTAAATATAAACTAGCCAAATAAATATGCTCTTTTCCCTGTATGTCTTGCCCTCAGTTCTATATACTTCATTTGGAAGCACTGCAAATATGCCGTGAATATGTGAGAGTACCTCTAACTTAAATTCTGTTTCACTCCCAACGTGTAAAAGATTTGAAAAAGATTTTTAGTGATCTTATTATAGACTACACGTAAGGATACTGTAGAGGGAACAGAGGCTTAGAATATAGGTGAGCTGGATAGTAGTTACCAGTCTACTTCTAACTAGTTATCTCACCTCGTGTAACTTGAACTCATTAGACTTCTTTTCCTTTTACAATGTGATTAGACCAGGTTCCTTCCAAATTTTTGATTCTATGATCTGTCCAATACTCTTTTATACATCAAGACATTATTTTCTCCCATATCACTGAAACTATGAAAGAGTCTGTGGTTTCTCCCTTATTGGGTAGAAGGTCCACATAGCTCTTATCCGTAATTAAACCTCTGAGGTCCTATAAACTCCACCGGACTTGGAGTTGAAACCCCTGGGTCTTGGTACTGTCGTTAGTTGTGTGACCTTGGACAAAAGATTTTACCACTTAAAGTCCCAGTTTCCCACGTGGTTACTGTGAAAAACCTAATTTTTGAAAAACTAAAATATACATAAAAGTTTATTAATGTACTTTCTATAAAAAAGACAAAGTGATATTACCCTGATTTTACCTGCTTTACTTTTCAATTGCTATGTCATTTACTTCACACTTTTGTAATTTGCTGCTTTATTTTTCTCTCATAGTAATAACAGTCATTATTTATTCTGTGATGGCTGTTATCATTGGAATTATCCTCATAAGTGCTCAGCTTATTGGCCTGCTGATAAAGGTGAGGACTCAGTTTTTAATTTTGCTGTAAATGCTGGTGTAAATAGCTCTAGGAGGGTTTAGTCCTCTGCGTTCAACTAAACTCAAAGAGAAACAAAACTGCGTAAAACTCATCTTTTTCAACTGGACACATAGAAGTCACTGCATTACTCTAACAGAATTTTTTTTTTTTGCACTTGCCCTATAAAGAAACCCCAAATATAAATCTATCCCCCTCTTCCAATGAAAGATCCTCCAAACTTTTTGTCTAACTTGATTTAATATATTTTGATGGATATGGATGAAATAGTCAAATTTCTAATTATAGTATCTAGTTTAATTTGTGTATGAAAAATATTTAAAATAACATGATATATTTATGCATGTTTAAAATGTTTGCTTTTTTAAATTCTCATATTTCCTGAGACAGATTTTTCAAACTCCACCTATGATTTTTCCAGCATGAATGATTTTTTTCACCCCTAAAATTAATTTTGAGTCTGTATGACAGAGTCCAACGCACACAACCTTTACTGTAACTTTCTTTATAAGACAGTTCGGACACAACATTGGTGTGTGTGATTATAATGCTAGTAATTGGAACTATAATCATAGATCATTAAGTCCCTAGTCACAAAAGAATGGTACAATTGAGTTCTTATTCACACTATTTGTGATCTCTATACTATAAACACTATATATTCTTTTAAAAAGGCTTGTTTAGATAGATAGCAATATTGCAATGGCAGGGCTATAACAAGTTTGACAGTAAATCTACATAAAGTTCCTTTGCCCTTTTCTTTTTTAACTATTTTTATTAGGTGATTTTGATAATCATACAAGCCTATGATTGATTAGCATGACTCCATGTCAATGTATCTTCTCTAAATAATACTTTCTTAATAAAAGCAAAGTAATTGAGAGTATCTACTCTAATATGAAAGATTTTGTAACGACTTGAATGGGAGATGACCCCTCGTTTACAGTTTAAATGTTGGGGAAAATAATCTCCTTGGGTTTGGGCATAGATGGCGAACTTAAATTTAGTTGTCTTCTCTCTTGGTTAATGATCTAAAATCTGAAAAAGTCAATGACATACTTAGTTGACAAAATTCAGAGAAAATCTTCTATATGGATATAGAAGAATTGGGTCATGGTTAATATGACTAAAAGAACTTATCTCTTTTTAAAAAATTTCCATTTCGTCTTTTCATTACAGCAGGGAAATATGACAGAGTGAAGGTTTGGGGTAATAATTTACCTACAGAAATAACAAATACTATTTAGAAATACAAATACAAATTTAAATCAAAGTTTGTAAATATCTACAAAATAATGACTTCTCCCACAAAAGAACTCTGCAAAGTGAAGTTTAATCAAAAGAAAACAAACTTTAGCCAAAAAATACATATTTTTAATGAGGCATTTTTTCTTTATTGTGTCTAAGTTTATAAAACTGTGGTATTAACATTATTCTGGTTTTTATTCATAGAGAAATCCAACTCTTGGAACAAGCGATCCTTTAACTTCTGTAAAAATAGGAGAAACAGGTTGGTGCTAATATTTTTATTGCCTTTTGTGTTTTTGAAAGGGAAGTAAATTAATGACTTACTTCTTTCTGAGTTAGGAAGGGTGCACCCAATTAGGATTCATTTATATTCTATTTTATCAACGCCTCCTCTGTAAGAATTTTTTTTGTGAATGTTTATCTACAGCGTAATGAAATTCTCCCTTAGGCATAATGTATCTTTAAAAAAGAAAAAAGTAAAACAAATATGATAAGTAAAGTAAAAACCAAGTTATTTGTGTACTTCTTATTTTCCAAACTGCAAAGTTGTATATAGGAGACCCTCCAGTGGGTATAGTTTAATAGTCCCGTATCTGGAGCCAGGCCTGGATTTGAATACATACTCCAACACTTACCAGCTGTGTAACCCTGAGCCAGCTATTCATGTGGAGATGATGACAGTGAATGTGGAGATAATTTAACACGGACATGGTGATGGCCTTCATCTCATAGAGTTTCATGAGGATTAAATGAACCAGCACAAGTAAAGCACCTAGAACAGTGCTTGGCCGTAGTAAGTACCTATGGCCTATTTATATTATAAATAGTGCAGGCTCCATTTCCAAATGACTTCTGCACAAATGGCCAGTCACTTGGCTCTGTTCTCATTTCCACTCCCAGGCGCAAAGGGGGACACGAACACGGGGAAAATAGCGGGTGTATCTTGCTCACCCAGAATAGTATCGACTCACCCAATACTCTTTCCAAAAAGAGCACTCATGCCAACCTTAAAAAGTGTGAGATTTTTACATTTAAAAACATCCAGATATTAGTACTCTCTTGCAGAAAAGAAAACAAAGTAAACTCTAACAATGCTGGAGCATCCATACCAGCATGAGAGCAATTCATAAGAGCTGTGTAGTAGTTGCTGCCTCTATGTGTTTAAATACCTAGCCAATTTTATTAAATATGGCCTGTTGTATAATCTCACTAATTGAGTATATAGTTCTATTAAAATTTGCCTCAGGCATAAATGCAAGTGACATCTATTTGGGGATATGTCCACCAAGAACAAGTCTCTGTGGAATGGGCTTTTTTTTTTTTTCGGTAGGCGGGCCTCTCACTGTTGTGGCCTCTCCCGTTGCGGAGCACAGGCTCTGGATGCGCCGGCTCAGCGGCTATGGCTCTCGGGCCCAGCCGCTCCGCGGCATGTGGGATCTTCCCGGACCGGGTCACGAACCCGTGTCCCCTGCATCAGCAGGTGGACTCTCAACCACTGCGCCACCAGGAAAGCCCTGGAATGGGCTTTAAATGCTCAAGCAAAAGGGAACTGATTCTGCCTTCTACAAAATCGATTGAAGTTTTTCCCATAATTAACAAGGGCTATAAATTTCTAGATTCTAGTTTTAACCCTATACCTAACACCTATCTTCAAAGGACTTGCTAGGACTTTGGGGTCACAAAAAATAGAGAGTTTTAAACTTCTACCCCCAACCACATAACCTGTATGCAGAACTAGCCTCATCACATTATCTTATAGCTTCTTAAAGCTTAACGATGATCGTTACATAATTGTTTAGTCCTAGGAAATTCATGCTCGGTAGGCTGAATGGCCTACATGTAATTCTCAGCTAACAGGATTAATAAAACCCAATCTGCAGATACTTAAAACAACAAAAGTTTTGAGTCATGTAACAGATTCACTTCATTTACTAAGGTTACTTCCTTATAGGACTTGCAGCTAGAACAAATATGCGTTAAGTATTTATTTTATCTACATTATGCATTGTTTAAAAAAAATGTTTTGAAGCTGCATTTAAAATGGAGAATTTGCCAGTCAAAACCTTTTTGTTGTTGTTGTTACCTAAATTTCTATATGCTTTTAACTACTGATTTATTTTGATGACAAATTTAGTGTTTAGTGTTTTGTCTGCTTTTTTTTTTCCATACAATCTTGAGCCTCTCTGTGGAATAGCCCACAAAAGTTTGGGACAATTTAATCCATCAAAGTGCATTAATATATCCTTGTTAGTTATTTACCACATGCTTACTGTGGGCTGGGCACCACACTCGCATTAGATATACCAATAGGAATCTCTGTCCTCTAGAAGCTGAGAATCTAGTTGGGGAAACAGACTGTGGTCATTGTAGGGAACAAGTTTTAAGGTAGCAGAGGCGTTAGCATCTAAAAAAGACCGGGGCAGGTAGCAAAAGCTTCTGGAAATGAAATCACCAGAGGGCAGTCTTAGGGGACAGAGAAACATTTCTGGGGGAAAGTCAGTTCTAAGCAAAAGGGGAGCTTGAGCAAAAGCATAAAAGAAGACAGGATATGGTGTAGTCAAGGAATTGGGTGCATTTCCACACTAGCAAGATTAACGCCTCAGTTCGCCATTCATTTCTCAAATATTTGTAAAGGCAATGGGAAGTCAGATGAATCAGATTTTAGGCTCAATTCATTTCCCCATATTTGTGCAAATGAAGTTATTAAATGTGTCTTAGTAAGTTAATGAAATTGTTACTGGAGAGTAGGTTCTTGTCTCATCGCAGAAAGAATTCAGATACGAGACACGGAGGTCAAGAAAATAAAGTGAGGATTTATTAAGCGATAGTGTGCTATCAAGGGGAGAGCGGGCAGACTCAGGTGAGTAGCTGCCCTGAATTCCTTTAGCAATCTGGTTATACGGGGTACAAAAATGAATGGGCAGAATATTCACTGGGGAGGGAAAAGTTTGGAGTTGTATTCCCTGATTTTCATCCCAGCTCCACCTTTCCAAGGAGAGGAGAGATTTTTGTCCTTATTTAGCCTTGATCAGAAGTGTCACAGCTTCGGTGCATGATGGCAACATTTTATCTGCAAGGCTAATTTTATTGTAATGAGGGCATAATGAGCAAAAGGTTACATTTGGACACTGGAGATTCCTGACTTTTCCCACCTTCCTTTGTCTGCCTCCTGGACACTTGTTACCCCAAAATGTGTGGTTTCCTGTCAGTCCTGGGTTTTTTTGTCTGCCCAAAGACCCCTTTGTTTACAAGCTGTATGGTTTCCTGCCGTTTGGCCTGTGCTTCCCTTTCTCTTCTCTTATCTAGCTATCTGTCTGCTCTAACAAAATAGGTTATAAAATCTAATCCCCACGCCTCACAGGAAATTTTGGGAAACACATAAGATTCCAAAAAACTGTTTTAGCCCTACTTTTGTAGAATACTGCTCTAAAGTAACTTACAAGTCAAAGGCAATAAGAGATTACAGTGATCGTACCATCTCAATGAGAACTAGAAATGGTAGGGTATAAAGAATGAATTGCTTTAACCTCCTTGAACTTGCACACGATTAATGGTTGGTGGGAAATGAGAATAAGTGAATCTGAGTTAGCTGCCCACAGTGGCGGCCACATGTGACCCCTGCCAGCCCATTTTTTATGGGAGAATTTTGAGCTGCACAGTTCCTATAATTCCCCAATAGAAGGAAACTGTGAAGAATGCTCTGCTTCCATAACAGCAAAAGTTCATCCCATCCCTTTCACACAGTCTGCGGAAGTAACATAAATCCAACCTACCAGCCAAGAAAGTTGGAAAGTCAGATTTGGTGCAGGAGATCAGCCCTTCTTTCACATGCTAGAATCAGAGAGGAATCTAGCAGTGAGTTTCTGTACAGACTTGCCCTTGCTTATGTCTAAGAAAAAAAAATTATTCCTAAAAGAGATTACAGACTACTTGTCTTAAATTCAAACACACATCTGTAATTCAACTCACTTATCATTTACGGCCTTCCCACTATATTCTGCCCCAACACAAGTTCTCTCTTAGTTGCTCATCTCTGCAGAAACTAGAAACAGAGTGATTATGTTTGTTCCTTACCTAAGGTTTTTACAATAGATTTCTTAAGAAATTTTTTTTCATTACACATAACTCTAATAGAGCTAATATGAAAAGAAATTCCTTTCATTTCTTAACAATTGTATTCCAGGACAACTCTGATAGAATATAGAATCCTGAAATTTTTTTATGCATTAATTTCCTGTTGTATTTAAATATAACTATGTTTTATACTACTGTTTTGTTTTGTTTTTCTCTATAATCCTTCTACAGTATAGTAACCGATGAGAGTCTGTTCACCAAGCCAAGTTTTGGAAGAACTCAAAGACAAGACTTCAGTCAAGTGAAAAATAAACATGTAAATTTTGGTCAAGTGAAAAATGAGCATGTAAAAAAAACCCAATAAATTGTATACCTTCCAAAGTTGTACAATTTCAGGATAAAAATTTCATTGTAATGAGTCCAGTGACAAATATTTTCTTTCATGCTTGTTTTTGTGTGTTAGCATAATTTTTATAATTAAGTAACTTGGAATTCTTATCCAAAACTTTAGTTGGCTTCGTCCACAATTCTTTAAGACTGACATTCTATTCTTTTGTATTTTAATGATTGTGCTGTCAAATGAAAGGCTTGTAACATCTAGATAAAATCTAAGTTCTCTTCTCATTCTAAACTTCCAAGTCTATTTTCATTGTTTTGAATAAATTAAGAGGACAGCGAAATGCTATTATTTCCTTCATTGCTGAACAGGCAGGGTATGTATTACACTAATGATGATGATGTTTTAGTCACACTAATAAAGCTTGTGCTTGGAAATGCCTTGCATCATACATACATACATACACATATACATACATACACATATGTACATATACATAAAGACATGGACATAGATATAGATGTACGAAATGACACCTACTTTCATCCTATAATGCATAAATCAACACAAAAGATTTTTCCCATTAAAAAAGTGAGGTGTTACACATGTGTAAATGGCTCATTTAAAATAACTCTGATAGTCTAGAGCATTAACTCGTTCAGGGCACTTACTGATGCATTGTGTTCGACTGGGAGAGTTAGTTATGTCAGTGGGCAGAGTATCCTGAGAAAGAATTAATGATTTTTTCTTCCTAATAACTCTGTAAATGCAACAAAATGTGCAAATTTAACATGCAGGTAAATATATTAAAAGATTACTCTGTATTGTCAATTAAATTCTTTAATCTGTCCAGTCCTGGTTTCTCTTATTAGTAAAGTTTTGGAAACTGGTTTAAATAATCTAAAAGAAATTTCTGGATACAAGAGACTAAGGCTTTGTGACTATACAGTTATCACTCATTTACAGTAAAACTTGAAAAGCAATGTAAAAACAAAGTACCTTCTTGTGATGTTCTATTTCCAAATGAACAAAAATCCATATAGCTTTTCATTGTTGTGTAATAATTAAGTAAATAATATTATGTACATATTTGAGCCTGGGAATGTAGATTTACTTTTTAATAAGTTAAAAAAATCTAAATCTTAACCTACTTGTATGTTCAGAGAGTATTCTTGTACTAAATTGATTATATAAAAATAAAGAATAAGAACAACATATTTCTGTTGGTATGTGTATTTAAAAGTAGTTTTAACAGTATTATTGGGTTAAATTAATCAAAAGAATGACCCAAGCATCAAGCCAACTTTAAATGTATTTTTAAAATAAAAACAAAATGTTGAACCAAGAGAGAACATGAGACTAACCTTGTCTCTAAAGTAATTTACGACTCAAAGGCAATAAGGGATCAGAGTGACTGTGCCATCTCTACCAGGGCAAGAGAGTCCAGAGAATAACTGAAATAGGAATTGCTTTAACCTCCTTCAACTTTTCTTCAATTTCTCTGTACTTCTATCAAAGGATTTTTCACATTTAAATTTAATATTTGTGGGGAAAAATTGACCTTTACTCTTCATATTTTTATAATTAAATCATCATAAGATTATAGAAAAGAAATCTTACCTATGAGGTCATCATGCCCCTATGAATGGTTCACTTAGAATTTTTTAAACTTTGGGACTGGAGTGGGGGTGGGAGGGAAGCTGATTAGAAAACGTCATCCTTCAGGCCTGGGTGTTTGTTTGCCTAAGTGTGAGCAAAGGGTCTACAGTAGGGAGAAAATGAATGGAGAAAGGGGAGAGATGCTTGAAGGCAGAACATGGGGAGGCGAGGAATGACGTGGTTAAAGGGTTATTGTAATGATACCCATAATAGTAATTGAGGGAGAGCCTTCTGAGTTATTCTAAGCATTTGTCTTATCAAATTTTGCAAATTTCATACAAGAAACTCCTAAGAGCCAAATGTCACTTAAACAAAAATCAGTACAAAATTCTGCCCAGTATCATGCATAAGCCTCTTATTATGTCAACACAGTTCTAATGAATCTGTGTTCTCAGCTCTATTTAGCTGGACTATGTCTACTGGCAACGGATAAAAGATTTTCAGCCTCTAGCTTTAAACAAGTGCTCTGAATTCTCATGTGTTGCTTGTACTATTATTTGGGTTCCATCCCCTACTTAACTGGGTGTCATTGAAAGCAGGGACTTTTCATCCGTTTTTGTAATTCCTGTGAGGCTTGATAAAACTCGCTTCTTATTTCATGACGCTTTTCTTAATATTTAAAATGCCATTATACATAGTGATATCTTGAAAGTTTCACATGGCATGATATGGAAAAAGAATCGATCTTGGAGCCAGAGTTTGAACCCTTCCTTATTTATTCACATAATTTCTGTTCCTTATCTGTAATGTGAGGATGAGAATAACCACCTTGCAAAAATGTCTTGAGATTTATTCAAAATGAAGTGCATAGGGTGGTCAGCACCAAGGGAGCGCTTGTGTCCTCTGAACACTACAGAAGTCTGACTCTCACTTGGGAATCTAAACAATAGATGCCCCAGTCCTGCTCCGACAGTGCAGCCAGGACAGGTAGTGATGCTGGGGATGACAAGCATTCCTAAATTTGGTGGGGAGGGGCCAATGGGAAAAAGACTTTCCTATGGGCTTTCTATGGGTTCTGGGTTGTGAGGGGCTGTTGGGCATATCAGACATGAATTCCTAGAGGAGGGACTAGCTTTAAATAGAAAGTAGAAGTGCTGCCAGATACCTTAGGAATGAAGAAGATGGAGACAACCAACTGAGACAAAGATGGATTTACAGAAGCCAAGAGAATAGTAGGTGAGCGGTCCCCAGTGATGGGAACGTTCTGCAGAACCCACAAAAGCACCTACAAAAGAAAGATTTGAATGGAAAGCTCTGCCAAGAGTAGAAAGCTGGGCTGCTGTGAACATATTGGTCTAGTCAGAACTTTCCTACCCCCTTACCCAATTTTTCCCTTACTGTGTTTGTATGAGAGAGGGGTCAGAAACTTTGGGTAGCAAGATGCAGGAAGAGGAGTGAAAGCTCTAGGTGGGGTGAGGGAAGGAATTTGACCATCTCTTTCCTGATCTTAGGTGGGAGAAGGAGTAAAAATATTAATTTAAAATCAGAATGGAAATTTTGATTATTGCATTGGTATAAATTAAAAAAAATTTTTTTTAGTTTTTTGTACAATTTTTAAAGGTTACCCTCCATTTACAGTTGTTAGAAAATACTGGCTGTACTCCTCATGCTGTACAATATATCCCTGTAGCCTATCTTACACCCAATAGTTAGTATCTCCCACTCCCCCACCCTTATATTGCCCCTCCCCCACACTGATAACCACTATTTTCTTCTATCTGTGAGTCTGCTTCTCTTTTTTTGGTGTATTCACTAGTCTGTTGTATTTTTTAGATTCCACATATAAGTGATATCATATAGCATCTGTTTTTCTCTGTCCAACTTATTTCCAAGTCCATCCATGTTGCTGCAAATGGCAAAATTTTGTTCTTTTTTATGGCTGAATAGTGTTCCATTGTATATAAACACCACATCTTCTTTATCTATTCATCTATTGATGGACACTTAGTTCACTTCCATATCTTGGTGATTGTAAATAATGTTGCTATGAACACTGGGGTGCATATATCTTTTTGAATTAGTGTTTCTGTTTTTTTCGGATATATACCTAGGAGCAGAATTGCTGGGTCATATGGTATAGATATTTTAATTACTAACTGGAGGACTATTTGTATTACTTAATAGTGACCAGAATAGTAATGGAGTCTACCCAGATTTTGACAGAACAGTGGAAGAACCAGTTCCATAGAATACATTTTAAATGACACAGGAGACATAACTAAAGTTATTTTTAATTTTCTTCTGTGAGTCTTATTCATTCAATTTAACCATTATACTGATAGAATTATTAATGTAGGAAAACCATTTGTTGATGAAAAATAGATAAGGCATAAGGATAAGAACACATACATTATCAGTATAACTCTCTAAATTGACTCAGAAACAGTAGAAAACTGTATCCCCAAATTTACAAATTTGCCCATACATTTTGGCTCAGTATTTCCATTTTGAAGAAGGTACTCCAATAAAAAATAGAAGAGCAATTTGTAATTTATTATCTTGTAATTTATTACAAAATAATATATACTCATAGCAGTGGCTAATAACAACATGAATAAAGAAAATAGCACAAATGTCCAACAACTCAGTACTGTCTGTATGTCAGTCATATTTTTCTTGTTAGTATCTTAACAAAATAGACTGTTCCATAGCCATAAAAAGTTACAAGTATGTTGACTCTGTTTCCATGTGAAAATGTGTGTATAAATTACTTTTTAAGTGAAAAGGTAGAAAACATAGCCTGTTTACTCTGAACAAATCAGAAGTACAGGTGCATAAACGAACAAGTTCAGAAAAAAATGGGCAACAATATTCAATAGTTTCTTTCTTCCTGTTGTTGTTTAAGAACTAGTGCCACTAGTTTAAAAGTAAAATGCTACCAGTGTTTGTGGGTTCTTGCTGAATATCTTTAAGCTAGAGCTCTATTTCAAAACTGAACACCAGAGACATTTTGGCATACCATTACCCGTATCTCATGAAACATGTTTTTGGGTGTGATTGAAGTGTGTGGTGACTCTGCAAAAATAGTTCTTGAAAGTTGAAAGATAAATATTTCAAAAAAGGGTGAAACAGAAAGATTTTGTTTCCTAGTTCATCAATAAGATAACTTAGTCTGTACACCTTAGGAGGAATGCGATCCTATTTTTTTAATGTGCTGTAGTCTTAAAAACTTTTCTTTTCATATTAAGATGTATATCTGTTTGTTGTAATGTTAGCAGCCAGTGTGCATATGATATTTCAACAACTTAACAAATTTTACCTCATTCAAATCCTAGTTTAAAAGAATCAAATGAAATGTCATCTGCAGCAACATGGATGGACCTAGAGATTATTATACTAATGAAGTAAGTCAGAAAGAGAAAGACAAATACCACTTATATGTGGAATCTAAAATATGATACAAATCAACGTATCTGTGTAACAGAAACAGACTCACACATATAGACTTGTGGTTGCCAAGGGGAAGGGTCTAGGGGAGGGAAGGATGGGAGTTTGGGATTAGCAGAGGCAAAATATTATATATAGGATGGATAAATAACAAGGTCTTACTGATATATTCAGTATCTTGTGACAAATCATAATGGAAAAGAACATGAAAAAGAATATATATGTATGTATAACTGAGTCACTTTGCTGTACAGCAGTAATTAACACAACACTATAAATCAACTATACTTCAATAAAATTTTTTTAAAATTTAAAAAAAGAGAAGAATCAGGCTACTTTTCCCTCTTGGAAATCCAAAGAAACAACAGCAATGTCACCCCAGCAACAGAAGGCAGAAAACTGTGTCTGTTTCCCCTTCCAACAACGCAACTCCAGAACAGTGTTTATTTCTAGTTATCTAATGGCCACCTCATATAGCAGTAACCATGGTTCCCACAGAGGCTCATAAAGAAAACACAAAAGGAAAGCAAATGAAGCCCTCATCTCTCTCACTGGGATCATGCGACCAAAAGATATAGGAGTTTGTGTTCCCCATTGCTCCTGACATGTAATAGTTCTTGTTCACTTCTAAAGCTAAACACAATCCTCTAAGAAATGATAACCTGTAATAATTTCAAAACCCTTTAATAATTTGTTTTGATTTACTTACTGCGAGGTTTTCACAAAACTTCCAGTATATTGGAGGTAAAAGTTCCCAGCGTTCTTCCTCATTCCTATTTAATACAGCTACACAGCATGAACTTCTAGCATCATGTGATTTGCCTATTCTTTCTTCCATGAGAGTCTCAAGGCAACGACAGAGCATCTTCCCATCCTAACTTCTTCACTGTTCCTAGAGCAGAGCCCACCAAAATGGTACATTATTACATAGATGACTTGTAACTCTTTTTGAAATCACAACTAAGACAGACCAGGAGTTCATGTACTTTTTTCTCAAATATTCTATAGGTAGATAGGGAAATACAACTGGAACTGGTTTCTTTTTAGTTTAAAAAATTTCTTAGGGCTTCCCTGGTGGCGCAGTGGTTGAGAGTCCGCCTGCCGATGCAGGGGACACGGGTTCGTGCCCTGGTCCAGGAAGATCCCACATGCCGTGGAGCGG